TTTAAAGATTCCAAATGGAAAAATAAATTAAAAAAAAAAAGAAAAAAAAATGATAAAGTCGTGGAATGGAATTAAAATGAAATACGAACTATTGAGTCGGCAATGTGAATGGAGACACGTGTCAACATCTGGGATGCGTAGTACTAGGACAAGTTAGGCGGAGGCTTTTTTTTTTTTTTTCCTTTTCCTTTTTTTTTTCCTGTGGCAATTATATCAAGACGCGTATTTCTCTTTCTTTTTACCTTTTCTTATCCAAAATAAAAAAGCATTTAAAATTTTATCGTCATTAATTTAAAAGAATTGATATGCTATGTCTTCTCGAGTTATATTCTATCAAAGTTATTATTATTGTTTAATCGCTTTTAGTTTATAACATTGCTTTCAATATATTTTTTCGCTCATGTTTTCCAAAATATTTATCTCAAACGTGACTCGAGGTTCGATCATACATTGACGTTGTCTGTGAAATCTGAATTTTTCCCAACTGACTTGTTTAATAGGTTAGAATAAATGACGCACAATCGCTATTCCAATAATACAGGAATATAACCCGTCACACTTGAATGTTTAAAAGATATAATCCTTAAATTGAATATAGTCAATAACATTTTTTTTTATTCTAATATATTTGTTTTAAGATAATAATCAAATTCTACCGTGAAGTCAATTAAATTTATACAAGAATATTTCCATAATGGTTAAATGAATAAGAATGTTAATATTCCATTCTAAATTATACAATTTATTTTTTACATAAATGATGAAAAAAAAAAACGATTTATATTCTAATTTTTCACTTTTTCGTGTTTGAAATGATTCTTTTACGCGATCAATTTATAAAATTTTAAACTCTCGGTACGTTGCGACACTTGTAGATATTTTTTTGTATACGTAATTTAAAAGAATTTAAAGTTCTAAAAAAATAAAATAAAAATAAAGGTGTTGGATTATTGGGTAGATATAGATGGAAGTTTGGACTTGCTTTCACTCCTCAATTTAGTGTTGGGATGGAATAGAGAACCATTAAAGCCACGTGGCATTTTCTTAGAATTTTATGATTTTATAAAAAAAAAAATCAAAATGGATAAGATTTTTTTTAAGTGGAAAATACAATGTGCTCAATTTTGGTTGCTTGTTGTCTTGCCACGTGGAAGCTTAGTTTAGTGGATAGGATTTTTGGACGGCTATAATTGTTTACCAAACAAGGACGAGGAGGAAAAAATTAGGCACCTACTTTTTTTTTTTTCCTAAAAAAAAATAATTTAAATTATCAATTAAATGCTTTGTGTTTATATAGTTGGGTCAAATATGTTTTTTTTTAATTAATTATTTATATTTTAACCGACGGTTTTATAGTTTAGGATCGAGTAAAAAAATAATAATTTTTTTTAGTTAAAAAATAATATAACGATAATTTAATTAGATTTAAAGATCGAGTTAAGACCTAACTCGATCTAAGAAGGCTCTGTTTAGCGCAAAGTCTCGGCGGGAAGTATAGAATATTGATTTTGATACTAAACTAATAAATTAAATTAAATTAATTGAAATTTTAGAATATGGTTTTAATTAAATGATGATACTTTGATGATTATGACTAACTAACAAAAATTCTTACAAAAAAAAATCTATTTTTTCATTATATATATTGAGTGGGTAAGGGATTGTATTATTGGAATTAAATATTTAAGTATATATGTGTATTGTTTTTTAATGTTTTTTTAAAAATAATATTTCATATTTTTTTCTTTAAATAAAAATAATAAAATATTAAAAAGAAATATAAAATTAAAAAATACGAAAGGTGCATGAATTAATGTTCGTATTTTTTTTTGTACGTAAAAAAAAACATGTTTGAAATGATTTAATGTATTTAAGATTAACTTTTACTCTGAGACGTAATAAAAACATGTTTGGAATCTTTTATTTAAGGTTCGCTTTTTACAAATTTTAAATACTAAAAACATGTTCTGAATGACTATATATTTGGTAGGGTTCTTAAAAATATTTTTAGCTAAGTATTCGACAAAATTTAATATTATTATACTATGACTTGTACCAATCTAGATAGAACTACAGAGTTAAGCTAGCTGGCATCGTTCAACTGAAATTCTACTAGTTGTAACATGTTTTAAATTTTGAAGCAAACATTGAGTCGAAAATGAACTTCAAATTCGAGTGTTAATCATGATATTATGAAAAATAATAAATCTAGAAGTGGTATGTAGATCGTCGAGAATTTAGTTTTCATTTCCACAAGTTGGCGTCAAATTCAAACACTTGGGTAACTTAATTTTAAACGAACTCAAGATAGAGATTGATTTTAGAAAGCAAGACGATCGAAAACATTATACTTCTGAACTTCACCTCCCAACAACACTCAAGAATTTGTTAAATCTAGTTGAAAATTTCAATTTTGATTTGACTTTTTTTAATATAAAAAATAATAAAATAATCGGATGATTTATGATATTGTTGAACAAAACATAAGAAAGTCAAAGGGTTGAATAATTTCCAAGTCAAAGAGTTGATTTTTTTTTTGTTTATTTTCTGACTTTGACTTGGCTGCTTAATTTTTAACACGTGGGTATATGATTAACGGTGGTTTCACATTATAAATAATTTATATATACTTAATACACAAATATTTTGATTAATTTATAATTACTTTTTTGAAGGTAAGATTAATTTACAACTAATTATCTAGCTTGAAAAATTTATGGCTTGTTCAATCTCGACAAATCAGAGTGATTGGACAATTTTAAATGAGCCGATGGGTACGGCACGAGTTTTGGGCTTTCGTATGTGGACTGGTCGGCCCAATATTTCGGCCCACTGATTTGCTTCTTTCCTCATAAGCCTTCCAATTTATTTTCAAATACAGTCCTTTTAAAGTATATAATATATTGTACCAATTAAAAAAAGTCTACTCCATAATATATTAAAATTTCAAAATTAACTAAATTATTTTTTTTAAATATAGTTGTGTACAGTTGAAAATATATTTATATTAAACCACCCATAATGGAGACAGTAAATATAATCACGTTCCCGGCCCCATTTATCTAACAGTTAAAATGTTCTCCACCCCTCATCCATTTTCCGTTCAAATGAGAAATCCACTCGTGCCTCGAGAAATAAAAGGTGGTAAAATGAGGTGGATATTGAAGTGAATCACAGTCTATTATCTCATAGAAGGAAAAGTTTGAAGCCTTTTTTCACATGAAATTGGTTAAATTTCAAGTACTTTTAGATGAACTTCATGCACCCGTCCTTTCCTCCACATATATTTTTTTTTCATTTTTATAATTTTTTTTATTTTAGTTCGAAAGAATTTAAGCTTTGATATAAAATTAAAAATGAAAACTTTGATATAAAAATGAAAAATAGTGTGAATTTAAGATGAAATTAATTAATGAACACAAGGAGATATTTAATATGACAAAAATGGAGAGCTAATATGTAATTAAATGAATATTTTGATGCTTCAAATCAAAGGCAGCTATTAGCTTCTTAATTAAATAACAAGAAAACAAAAGTATAATAATTATATGCAAGTGGGACCCACAACCTTCTCTCAATTATTTAAATATTTGTTGTCCCAATAAATTTGGATAAACTTATCCATTTTGTCCCACATAACCACGTTACCTATTGTAGCGATTTGGACTGACCACGACATAAAATTACATTAGGTAGAGCACGTTTATCAATAAAGTTCTTAGGATTGAATCATTGAAAAGAAAAGTGCATCATGTTAATATATGTATTGACTTTCAGATATTGTACGCTTTTATTAGTTATCTTATACTCAAGATCGCTCTCATTCAGATGTGGTCTTGGTTCATTCATGTACTCCTCCTTTACTTGGGTGTCACGAGCCCATTAACTTCCACCTTGGTTCGTCTCCGAATTACATCTTACTAGGAAATGTACTGCTCTAACACATCATCCTATCCTCAGGATCGCTCTCATTTGGACATGGTCTTAGTTCATTCATGCATTTCTCATTTACTCAGTGTCACATGAAAAGAAACATTACATACCACACATTTAAACGTCCAATTTCTATGGATAGCTAACAAATTTTAAAAGATCACCCGACATCAAATTGCTCTAAATTTTAAATATTTGAATTTTTAGCCAAATTTCAAATATTAAGAATTAAATAAAGGACGGTTGGTTCAACTAAATGTGGTTATCTGTAATAACATAAAGTTCTTAATCTATTAATGGGGCCCTTATGGGTTTGGGAATAATAATGTAACAAACAAATTGTCACAACATCCAACTAACATAAGGTACATTGTTGCACTCCAAACTCTATATTAATATATTAATAATTTTTTATTGCTTCCGTTTTTTCTTTCTTTCTTGTTTTGGTCACTTCATTTGGATCGTGATGATTTATGACAAACACATTCTTTGGAAACTGACCCATGTGTCAATCTTCTCAAATATCCATTTATCCGAGTTCTCTCGATTATTGGATTCTTCTGTGTCCATGCTAAACCATTTACGATATACATTTCAAATAGTGGGTGCGTTCCTCCTACACATGAGCTAAGACGCAATAACAGGATGCTAGTGCCACTCTGTTACTGTCATTGAAAAATCCATTTCAAAGAAAGTTGTCTAGGAACGCTCGCCCTTAGTGACACATGGTGTACCTTCATTTTCGTGATCTTCACGAAACAATGACCTCTTTCGTCCAACTAAGAGAGATTTAATTGCAAAAATTTTATACTAAAAGAAAACAAAATCAAAAGTTGCACACAAAATTGGAAAAACATTTAAATTGGGAGCGTTTATGTGCATATTTCTAATCAAAATCCATATAAAAACACGAAGAACAGCGCCACCATCATCATCTCAAAAGCTCTGGAAGTAGCAGTGTTGTAGAAGAAAAACTGGAAAACCCTTAAAAAGACGCCTCTAAAGCTAATCTTTGCGGTTGGTGCTTCCCTCTCTCATTATTCTTTGCCCACTTCTTCACTCTTCTTTCTTTCCAATTCTTGCTGTGAAAATGACTAAGTAAAAGCTTCTTGGAATCATTGTTTCAGATAAAGAAGGGATCACCCTGGCATTGAAATTGGGGGATTTTAGTGGGTTAGTGATGAAATACGAACTTGTCGGCAATTTCACATGGACCCACATTCAATAATGCCCTAAACAAATCCTCTTCTCTTCATTCCATACGCTTCATTCACTGTCCCATGTGCTACCTCCGTCGATATCTGCTGGCACACATTCATTCTATTCGTGTTATCTTTTTCTTCTTCTCTCTCTCTGTTTCAAACCCTCCATGTGGAAATTGCAGCACATAACGAGCGATTTACTGTTTGGAGGAGGCTTCAATCCAATGAATGAACTGTTGAAGCTATGAATCTATGACCCATTTGTAAAATTATCTTTCTCTTTCTTTGTTCTTTAGCTTTCCATGGATCCTCGCACTCGTTTGAATCATGCTCTGTTTCAGCTCACTCCCACTAGAACCAGGTTCTTATCGATTTAACTCGCGGTTAATTTATCTGGGGTTTGGGGATTTTTGTTTTTGTCATCTGGGTTTTGTTCTGATTTTGATTTCTTTGGTGTTTTTACTTGTTTCTTGAAGATGTGAACTGGTTATCTCAGCTAATGGTGGTGCTACTGAGAAACTGGCATCTGGGCTTCTTCAGCCATTTATCTCCCACCTCAAATGTGCTCGAGATCAGATTTCTAAAGGGGGTTACTCCATTACTCTTCGCCCTATTGCAGGATCAAACGCTTCTTGGTTCACTAAGGGCACTCTTCAGAGGTTATTTGTTCTTCTCTTCGTTATGAAGATTATTAGAATTAGAATTCAGAGTTTTGGGTTTGATCCAAGCTTTAGCATGAACTCTTTTGTGGATTTGTTGATACAGATTTGTGAGATTTGTAAGCACACCAGAGGTTCTTGAGAGATTTGTTACCATAGAAAAGGAGATTGTGCAGATCGAGAATTCTATGTCCACAGATGCTGAAGGTATTGCTTAAGGGTCTATTGATACTGCAATGAGCTTGTCCTTGGATAACTTGAGCTATTTAGATTCTTTGTGATTCTTAGAATGCTTTCATTTAGATTTAACTATGTTTGATGCATCTTATGGTGTTTGAAATCGAATTTTCAGAAAACGCAACAGTTGCTGATTGGAACTCGAAACGATCGAGCCCAACGCAGCGGGTAAGTTGTTTGTTTTGTGATTCCCTGGAGCTGCTATGTCTTATGGTTGTTCATGCAGTAATGTTGGAGCGTTTATTGTGATGAGGGGAGAACAGGTGAAGGGCGATTTGGATGATATTAACGACGATGCTACATTGAAGGACAATCCCAAGTAATATTAGTGTTTGTATTATTCGTAGCTAATTTAGGATGTGTTTTAGATTTGATAATGTCATTTCTCTAATGCACTGAATTTCAGTAATGGGTAATCTACAGGATCCGTCTTCAACGTGTTTTAGAAACTCGAAAGGCTGTGCTACACAAAGATCAAGCAATGGCTTATGCTCGTGCTTCGGCTGCGGGATATGAGATGGATTATATTGAGGATCTTATAGCTTTTGCTGAGGCTTTTGGAGCTTCACGTTTGAGGTATGGATTTGGCATTCATGGGCTATGATTGACCAAAATGATTTGGTTTTTGATTGAAAGAGACGGACACAACGTCACACCCCGCTCCTGACTACCCTACCTGTAATGATCCTAGCCCACTGCTAGCAGATATTGTCCTCTTTGGGCTTTTCCTTTCGAGCTTCCTCTCATAATGTGCAATGTCGACATAATGTGCCACACCCTGGCCGAGACTACCCTACCAACTCAGTACAAGTTGAGACTTGACAATAGATTCCATTGCCCACTCGGGGTCTACTGTCGTCACAGCTCATCCTCGGTTGGTAGTGTGAGATCCAACATCAATTGGAGAGAGGAACAAGTGCCAGCGAGGACGCTGGGCCCCGAATGGGGGTGGATTGTGAGATCCCACATCAGTTAGGGAGGGAAACGGAACATTCCTTATAAGGGTGTGGAAACCTCTCCCTAGCAGACACGTATTAAAGCTGTGAGGCCAATAGTGATACGTAACAAACCAAAATAGACAATATTTGATAGCGGTGGACCTTGGGCTTTTACAAATGGTATCAGAGCTAGACACCAGGCAGTGTGTCAGCGAGGACGCTGGCCCCCCAAGGGGGGGTGGATTGTGAGATCCCACATCGGTTGGAGAGGGAAACGAAATGCTTATAAGGGTGTGGAAACCTCTCCCTAGCAGACGCGTTTTAAAGCCGTGAGACTAACATCGATACGTAACGACCCAAAGCGGACAATATCTGTTAGCGGTGGACTTGAGCTTGAGTTGTTACACGAATGATGAATAGAACATCAAGCGATCCACTATCTGTTTGCTTCTTCATTCACCTGTTTGGCTTCCCTTTTCCTTTTTCAAGGGATTGTTTGTTTGGAATAGTTAGATAAAGAATCTAAGTATTATAATTTGGCTGATTTAGGGAAGCATGTATAAATTTTATGGACTTATGCAAGCGAAAGAACGAAGACAAGCTCTGGATAGATGAAATAGCAGCTATGCAGGCGTTCTCTCAGCCAGCATTTTCGTACTCAGAAACTTCTGGTATCGTACTAGCTGGTGAAGAGAACGAATCTAACGTCAATGCTCATGTATCAAAATCTGATTCGTCAGCAAGTCAAGGAAGTTCAGAGAACAATCAAGGTATGATATACTATGAATCTACTACATATGTGCGGTTTTTGCTGCCTATATTCACGTATAAACTATACTCTAGTACATTGTTTGAAACTCGATATCTGTTCCACCTAGTACATTGATTCTATATATTCAGTATGTATGAGATCCCACATCAGTTGGAGAAGGGAACGAAGCATTCCTTATAAGGGTGTGGAAACCTCTCCCTAGAAGATGCATTTTAAAACCGTGAGGCTGACGGCGATACGTAACGGGTAAAAGCTGACAATATCTGCTAGCGGTGGGCTTGTGTGTCTATTTTTCCAAAAACTGGTTCTTGGTTTTGGAGTGTTCTCTTATGATGAGAAAGAAAGACGTGCTTGTGTAGAGGGATGGCTTATCGATTTCGTTTCATATGGTAAAAAATACGCAGATGGTAGCCTTCCGAAATCAGCACAGATGTCGATGAATGGGAAAGCTCAAGTGCCAACGACGTGGCCTAATCATCCTCAATATATGCACAACTTTCAAGGTCCATTATATCCTCCATATCAAGGATATCTTTTCCCCGGAATGCAGATGCCGCCGCCGTATTACCCAGGGAATATGCAGTGGCCATCAAATGCCGAGGACTTGAGTCTTGCTTCCGACCGAGAGCCTGGCGGTCATAGGAGTTCTAAATCTCGTAGGAGCAAGAAGAAACATTCACATAAGGAGAGAACTTCAGAACAAGAAGCAACTACAGAGTCTGGTGAATCCAGTGTCGACAGTGAATCGGACGAACAATCTTCAGATGATAAAGAGCAATACTCAACGGAAAAGATACGTAAGAAAAAGCATGGCAAGAAATCTTCAAGAACGGTCGTTATACGTAATATTAACTACATAACGTCAAAGAGGAATGGCGAAAAGGGTAGCCACTCAGAGGATGATTCATCCGACGAGGGTGAGTTTATTGATGGCGATTCCATCAAACAGCAGGTAGAGGAAGCTGTTGGGACGTTGGAGAGAAGACATAAGTCAACCGGTCGACACCAAAAGAAACAAAATGGCTATGACAATGCAGATGGCTTAAATGATTCTGCAGAACGGGAGACTAACGGTATATCGAACAATTCAGAGGGAGAAAAGATCAGTAGCCCATGGGATGCTTTCCAGAATCTTCTTATGAGCGAAAGGGAGCCGGAAAAGTCTCGTGAATTTCCCTCTGTTCAGGATCAAGACGGTCACGAGGGGAGGTCACCTATGCTAAACTTAGAATCAGAGAGAGCACCGAGACAACGTGAAGTTTCGAGTGATTCTTTCGTCGTGACAGACAGGAGTTCGGGTAATGAAGGGAGAACACATATCGAAAATTTTGAAGCTGGTTATGTTGCCAACCCAATTAATAGAAGGAGAGAAAGCACATATGAAGAGTTATTGTATTCACAAAGAGGTGGAGAATCAGGGAGCTATGTGCATTCCACTGCGTCCGATTTCACCAATGTGTCGTCCAGAATGAAAACGCAAACAGAAGGCGATTGGTTCGTCAGCAATCCGACTAATAAATCAGAAAATCAGTGTCAAAACGTCTGTCCCAGAGTTTACGACACCGACTTCTCTTCATCGGCTCAAGACCATTTGTATTCAGAGAAAAACAAGAAAGATGTGTTGGCTGATGACTCTTTCATGATTCAGCCTCGACCATTAGTAGATGACCAATCCGACTTTCAATCTAGACGAGACATAAGCATGGTGTCGGACATTGTTGGGGATGCCGAAAATGAGTATGTCAAACAAGAAACCTCAAGAGACGAAAAGCCTGCAACTCTCGGTGTCAGTGAACCGGATGACCTTTACATGATGCTTGATCGTGATATAGCTACAGAGCCCACGGTAGCATCTTGGAGCCCAGAAATGGACTACGAAAATAATTTTTCAACCATAGCGAAGAGTAAGCACAGTGATATCGAAGCCGATGACGGTGGGGACAAGAGTAATAAAAATAAAGAATCTGGGGGCAAAGTTCCAAGTAAAGAAGCCAGATCCAAATCCTTGGGAGGACCTCTAGCTAAGGGAAAATATGACGTTCAATCACGAACACGAAAACCGCTTTCTGGAAGCAGAACTACCGTCCCGAAGAGCAAATTCGAGAAGGTATTCGGTTTTCTTGCCTTTTCGCACCTGCATTCGGTTGAAATCTCCGGGCAGGTTTTCTAACTACTTTTGTTTTCGTTTTCGTGTTTGTCGCAATATTCAGGAAGAAGAGACGAGAAAGAGAATGGAAGAGTTGGCGATTCAACGCCAGAAACGAATTGCTGAAAGGAGTTCTAAGCCTGGTGTAACCAAGATTGAGAAGCAAAAAAGCCAATCCCTGGTCCAAGAAGCCAAGAAGTCACCTAAGCCTGTACTTAGGAGTTCGACGATAGATCGACTTGCAACGGCTCGTACACCTCAGAAGGTATCTGCAACTCAATCACCATCGAGTCAACCAAAAAAGCCGACCTCGAGAGCGAATGGCATTACCTCATCAGAAAAGTTCCCTAAATCTGACAGTAAGAAACTTATCTCGAACAAAGTAAAACCTTCTGATTTAAAACACGAGCACAAGAAATTGATTATGGCACTTTCTTCTGATTCTTATGGCCAGACAACAATGGATGGCAAGGAAGACGTAGTAGCATTGCCAGCTGAGTCGGCAGTACCGAACGCAACTCAACCAATCGAGAACGTCATCGATGATATCAAAGTTATCGAGGAGGTACGTACTACCCATTCAGTCGAAAAAAATGATGAAACTTTTATTACTCAAGGCAATGATAGTTCAAACGACAAGGTTATCGATTTATCTAAAGCACCTTTAGTTCTTAATGAAGAAAAAATCGTTTCTAACGGTCACAACGAACATGCTTTGAAAAAGATGGTCGATTTTGCGGTGTTGTCTGATAAAGCCTTAGGTCCTGTAATCTTGAATACTGGTTTAGCCACACCCGAAATTTCCGAGATCAAAATCTCGACTCCTCCCTCAACTAACGAGATGGTCTCGGAGTACTCAACACACTCGAGGAAGAAATGGATTAGTGATGAAAACTCTTCCAAAGCACCTAAGGGGTTTAGAAAGCTACTTTTTTTCGGACATAAAAGCCGAAACACCGCCTTGGATTGATCCATCGACCTCTTTATTCTCTTGTTAAGTCGATTCTGTGCTATAGGGGACGATTGTGTCGAGTTCTTTGTTGAGATTGAGTTGTTGAATAAAATTGTTTGTTTATTCTGCAGATAATACGTGAGTGATGACTGAGATGAAGAAAATAGGATGATTCTTATACTTAATAAGGCCATGGATGATCCTGCCATGTTTGTATTTTGTGTTGTAATTTATATTGTTTCATTTTTTTGCTATTGGATTTGTAAAAAGTGATGTTTTCTCTCTTTTTTTTTTTTTTGTTTATTCTGTTTGTATAATTTTATTTATGTTCATAGTTATGTTTTTAATTCAAACAGTCTCTCAAAATAATCACTTTCTGCTTCGCTCATCTTCGCTCATCGTTCATCGTTCATAGTTCATCCATTAGAGTGAAGGGCAAGCTTCAATTAGCTTGTTCATTGTTCATATTTGATCTTCACCCCATCAGGATCCCAACCCAATACACACATCATTGGTGGGTTTGCTTGTTCGTGGGTCGATAATGAATGCCTACCACACCAAGTGCCTAACCATGTTCGGCGACGAACCTCCTCGTGCAAAACTTTGAGGAAGGGAGTTTTTAGTGCAAGTGTATGTTGAGGATGGTTGAAGTCGTGGCTAATTAAGGAGAAGATCATGGGTATATAAGTGAGAGATATAAGACATTTCGGGAAAATCAAAAGCAAAGCTGTGTAAATTTATGCTCAAAGTTGACAATATCATACCACGAGGGTCGTTGTGATTCCTGTATTCTTCTTTTGGTGCTCTTCTTATGGCCCAATACAAGGTCCTATTTGGTTCTCATTTAGAGGGAATACTCTAAAACTACAAAGGGGGCATTTGGCCTATGGGTTTGGGTTCTAAAAGCGGATAATATCTATAATGATGATCTTGAGCTATTAAAAATGGTATCAGAGCCTGACACCAATTGGAGATGCCAACGAGGATTCTATGCCTCCAAAGGGGTAGAGAAGGGTAGATTATAAGATCCCACATCAGCTGGAAACTTGTTCCTAATATATACGTTTTAAAACCGTGAGGTTAATGGCATGAGACTGATGACGATACGTAACAGGCCAAAACGAACAACATTTTTCTTTTAAGCTTTTCTTAGTCATCCTATCATCATAGTCGTTCTCATTTAGATGTGATTTTGGTTCATTCATGTACCCCAATTACTCGGGTGGTACAACCATAATAAGCAATTCACTTCAGAGAATTCGGAAAGGTTAACGTGTAAAAAGACGCTATTAATAAGATTTATCCAAATAAACTAAATTATTAGCTCATGAATAAATTAATACTATAATCACAATCACAATGAAACTTTTTTTCATATGTTAGATTATGGTTAGCAACTCCCAAATAATTGTTACACATATTATAATATAAATGTAGCATCTATTAGCTTGATTCATTATTGAATCTTATTAATAACATATAATTTTTTTTTGTCTTTCATATTTTGAACACGTTCATCTTTTCTTTTAGAACACGTTTGATTCTCTCCTTAGTAGACGCATATTAAAACCGTGAGGCTAACGGTAATACGTAAAGAGTCAAAACGGACAATATCGGCTAGCGGTAAGCTTGAGTTGTTACAAATGATATCAGAGCTAGACACTGAGCAATATGTCAATGATGACACTAACTCCTAAGGGGGATTGTGAAATCCCACATCGGTTGGAGATGGGAATGAAACATTGTTTATAAGGGTGTGAAAATCTCTCCCTAGTAGACACGTATTAAAATCGTGAGGCTGACAGTAATATCTAACGAGTCAAAGCGGATCATATCGACTAGCGGTGAACTTGGATTGTTACAAATGGTATCTGAGTCAGACACTGGACAGTGTGCCAGCGATGACATTAGGCTCCAAGGGGGATTGTGAGATCCCACCTTGGTTGTTGGAGAGGAGAATGAAACATTCCTTATAAGGGTGTGAAAGAGTCAAAGCCGGCTGTTATAAATGATATTAGAGCCAGACAGCTGATGGTGTGCTAGCGATGACTAGGTCCCCAAGAGGGGTGAATTGTGAGATCACACGTTGATGAGAAGGAGAAAAAAATATTCCTTAAAAGGATGTGGAAATCTCTCTCTAACATACGTGTATTAATATTGTGAGGCTAATAGTGACGGCTTGGGTTTGTTTCTTCTAATTTAATGCCCAAAACAGAGAACCACAAACCGCACATGGGCGCAGCCCCTCATCACAACATCGCCATCTCCCACATGCGCTCAACTTTCCCTCCGTCTCATCCAAATCCTCACTTTCTTTAATCTTTATATCTCCAAAGAACACATCTTTCACTTCCATTTCTATATTCTCCAATTCCCTCAACAACTACTCACATTATTGCCGATTCTTGTGGCCATTCATGGACATGGGTAATGTTTCTTTAAGCCCCTTTCTTTGTTTTTTTTTAATAAGTTGTTCTTTGCTGAAACTTCTTTGGGATTGTCTGAATTTGAGAACCAGCTCAATGGGGTTGGCCTAAACGTGTAGAAAACAATGCAGGGGTAGATTTAGACAGCTTTGAATTGAATAACATATTTGTTTCACACGCTCGTTCGTGGGCGTGGCGGGTGTGAACACCACATGTTTGATGAAATGCCTGAACCAAAATTTTATTTGAATTTTGTTTCTTTTACAGCTTGGGTGGCTCTGCAAATCAACTGTTTGTTTAGGGATTGTGAAATGGGACTATTTGGGAGCAGCTATAAAGAGACCCTAATGTTATGGGGCTTTGGGAAATGATTGGTTTAGGGTCTGTCACAGATTCTTGGCTCTTTGAATTTGGACAACAAACTGGTGTTCTCAAAAAGATGCATTGTCTTGGTACAATGAGGCAAGAACTTGGCTTAGGAATAGAAAATTTTTAGTGGAAATTTATTATTAGAGAGAAAAAAAAAATACATAAATGGTAACCGCCCAAGCCTACAACTTGTTCCTCTCTTTGAGATTTCACAATCCACCTCTCTTAAGGGTCACGTTCTTGGCACACCACCCAGTATCTAGCTCTGATACCATTTGTAACAGCTTAAGCCCACCGCTAGCAGATATTGTCTGCTTTGACTCATTACATATCACCGTCAGCTTTATGGTTTTAAAACGTATCTGCTAGGGAGAGGTTTCCACACTCTTATAAGAAACGTTTTGTTCTTGTCTCCAACTGATGTGAGATCTCACAATTCATTAAGAATAAATCTTTGCGATGATACAATGGAAACTCGATCCTCACAAATTTCCTGTAAAGATTCATTGAACATTTGATCCCCACGAACTATTCGAGAGAAATCTATGCTCCAATCTTTGTAAAATTAAATGTGGGTGGAGACAGGGACAAGGAAGACATCCTCGACCTCAACCTACTCTATAAACATCTCTAATTTTTTCTGAGCTAGGGATAATCATTTTAACCCTAATATATATATTTAAAATCACAAAATAAAAATAACAAAAATTAAAATTAAATGACAATAAAATAAAGACATTCTCTAAGCATTTATTTATTTTTTAAATAATAATATTATTTGTTACATAAGAGCAATTATTGAAAATTTAATCTTACCATTGACCTAATGAAATTTGGTTTTTAAAAAGAAAAAAAAAAAGAATTAAAGCTTGACCAGAAAATCATATAATATATATATATATAAAAGTAAATTCTTTTATTGTGATATTTTAAAGGTAATACAGGCTGTTTGGAATCAAGGCACGAGGATTTTATTGATATCAAATGGTATTTTTCTTGCAAAATAATAAAATATATATTTGAATTATTAATCGTAATTTAATAATTAATTATTGATAATTAAGAAGCATCCAAAGACAATGTCTATAGATAGTGGGAAGGAGGATTCATATAATTAATGGATTGTTTTATTTCTAATTCAACCAAAAAAAAAAAAAAGTGTTTTTAATTTTTTATTTTAGAAATATTTCTGAGTATGATTCTTCCAGAAGCTACAACTAATTGGCACATTTCTAACATCAAATTGTTTAATTTCAACTCCATAATTATTTCAATTATTTTGCGTTAAGTTTGAAATTAAATTATAGAGTTATCGTTGAATAAAGTTTATAATCTAACCCAACTCTCTGTACTTTAGAAATACTTTGGAGCTTCGAGAGACGATGAGACTTAAGAGTCTAGAGAAACGAGAGGTAGAGAGAGAGGAAGAGAACGTGAGAGATTATAGATGGAGAGAGTGTAAGAGACGAGTGAGGGAGTGTGTCAAAGACGTAAAGAGTCGAGAGAGACGAGACTCAAAAAGTATGACGATAGTTGAAAGAGGCAGACAAGCGAAACAAGACCCCAAAATGGTCAAGAGATGCGAGCATGAAAGATAGAGTTTCGGAGTTGGAAAGAATCGAGAGCGGTACGACTTGAGAGGGACGTAGATGGTCGAGAGAGAGCACGAGAGTTAGATCGAAAAAATATATAACATAAATTTATTTTGAATTCGAGTTAAACTAACAAAAAAAATTTCTTATAACCCATAAATCGAACTTCTATCTAAAAATGTAAGTTTAAAAACGGTCAAATGGAAGTCGAACGGGTAAAAGGAACTCATGCATGCTCATCCACGCAACCATGAACAGATAGTCATACGCATGGGGAGGAAGTACGTGTGTTCTTCATGCAACATGTGGTGCACGCGAATAAGTTCATTTGCGTCAGTTCAAGTCAGTGCAACACTTTGACTCGGGTTATGTGAGGGTAATCGAGTTGGATCTTCTTGACACGTATCTTGTTTGTGTTTGACGTGTAACTCTATTCCTTTTACGACATGTGTCTACCTCATTGCCTGATGCGTATCTCTTCTTGTTGTTGACACTCATCTCCTTCCCCTAGCCTAACATGTGTCCGTTAGCGATTAATCCTCCTCAAGTTTTCTACAAAATTTGGTCGGATTTTCAGTCAGTTTCGATTTATTCCTAATTTCTTTGGATTTCCATAACTTTTCCTACGAAACTCGAATCAATTTGATTTATTCACCAAAGGTGTAGAGTTATAATCCATCTATACAACGCAAATATTTTTCTCATAATTTAGGGCAACAAAAACGTCATTTTATGATCCAAATTAACTCTGATTTCCTAAAAAAAAATCTTCAACAACAAAAAATGTCAAGACAAGAAGATAACGTGATCATTGTAAGAGGTATCTCAAAGTAAAGTCTTAAACAAATACGTTGAACGAACACATTTTTACTTTTTAACTTGATTGATCTCGGGATGATTATGCGATTTGATTCTACAGTTTCACTTTTTAATATTCACGATCCAAAGAACCACCAATGGATTAACAATAGCTTTACCATAATATCTTTGAGCGTTCTTTATTATTATTATTATTATTATTATTTTAAATTTGAGCTAAAACGATTCATGTCTCGAACACTCTACTGATCCAACTCAATATGTACCGTTTAAGTTGACTTATAAACTTATTTTAGTTAGATTATTTTTACTTATTATAGTTGGATTTAATTATATTCCTTATCTAAGTAGAGTCGCTCAATTCAACCCAAAAAATTTATAATTTGATTGGGTTGAGTTTATTATTGTTTAGATTAAGAAAATATATAATCCAAACAAATAGATTAAGTGTAAAAATATTTCAACCCGATCCAGTCTAAGCTACACTATCAAAGTTTCCGAATATCAAGATGTTCTTTGGATGAACGGTACAAACAAATATCTAATGGAATTAAAAAATCACCCAATCAAAATGAATGCTATTGACTTTTGTTTTCATGCAAGGACAACATTTATGCTATCCCCACTCTACCCATTCCCCTCCAAACCCCTGTTTTTGTACTCATTTCACATAACCCCTAACTCGAGATCAGCATTTCCCGTCTCGGTAGCTCGGTTCCAAATTCAATGCTTCTTTGCTTTCTATGGTCGAACCTATGTTGAGCTTCGAAAATGGTGTAGTTTTATTGTATAAGTACGAAAAACGATGCAAATTTCGAGAGAGATATATTATCATTTTACGATATGAACGATGTAAATACGAACCGGGAGTCGGGGAGGAAAGTAATGAGGGTTTGATAGAGAGAGAGAGAGAGATAAATATTGCATGGAAGCATTGATAAGATGGTCCCTAAAGGAGTTATAGCCATGGGGTGTCACCTTCGGTTACCAGTAATGGGCTGGACAGCTTCAGGACGGTTGGGAGTACACTAACTTGTTCGCCATTATAGCTTCTACATTTGTGCTCTTTCCACCTCTACTTTTTCTTGGGCTTCCCAAGAGCCCATTTCTTTATGTTTTTTTCGGTCTCGCCGACGTCGTACCTTCACACCCGAGATGCTCACAATGTAAGTCAACACTTCTATGATTTAGGGACTCGAGAACGGAACAAAAGATGGGAGGACTCAACTGTCTTTCGAAAAAGGATGCTCTTATGTTGAAGAAGAGACAATTATCTCACTTATAAACATATCTGTGCAAGATTAAATATATGACAAAGCTACTACAGCGGCAGAGTAGAACAAAGCATTTCTGATTAAGATGTAAAAACCTCCCCTTAATAGATGCAAGGCTGATTGGGATACGTAATGGGCTAAAGCGAACAATATCTACTAGTAGTGGGTTTGGGTTGTTACAAAGGATATCAGAGCCAGACAATGGGCGGTGTGCTAACAAACATTTCTTGGGTTGTTAAATCCCACATCGGTTGGAGAGGGAAACCAAACATTTCTTATAAAAGTGTGAAATCCTCTCTTCAGTATACGCGTTTTAAAATCATGAGGTTGATAATTATATGTAACGGACTAAAGCGGACAATATCTACTCGCAGTGGACTTGGGTTGTTACAAGTTGAGACTACTGAAGCCCATCACTGTCGAGCTTAGAAACTACACACATACAAACACAAAACTTTTCAAATTTTACAAAGATGATAAGTTGAACTTTACTCGAGTTGATATTGAAATACCTTTTGTAATTAAAAATGAGTTTTTTTGCTTTAATGGAAGTCAACTAAATGCTTCTAAAGGGATTTTGTTTAATTTAGTGTATGAAATATACTCAAGAGTGATGAGAGTAAAAGGGAGAAAGTTCATAACAAAACCTCAAAAGAATCAATGGGAAGATATTTCCTTAGTGTTTACAAAAAAAGACAAAAGCAATGTTCATTAGGAAATGAACTTAAAAAAATATAGAGAATGGGTATGAGAATTGAGAAGAAGAGAAGCTCTGCTTTGGTTGGTTTAGTACACAGTAAAACTGTTGGGTTCTTCATTTCCAAATCACTTTTTGCTCTCAATTTTTTTAATGCACAAATTCTAATTGCCTGTTTTTGAAAAGAAATGGAAGGATTTGTTAATTGAGGTTCCATGTTCTTGTTCCATAATTCTATGTTTATGGTTGCTTTTACATACCCAGTTGTTCATACTCCAATTTTATTGCTCAATCCCGCATTTCCCATTGCCAAAATCCCAATATTTCTCTGAGTGTCTTCTCTCTGCGTGTGTTGGTTTCTGGGTTTCTTATAGTTCTTCAAACCTCCAATCACAGGCAGCGCTAAATCCAACTCTTTCGCACAACCCCAGCATAGGGCTTCGTTCCCCCTTCGCCTTTCTCGACCTCTTTTGTTGGATCCGACTAACGAAGCTTAAAATCTTTTACATAATACTTCCATGTTCTTCCTTGTCCGATCCCTTTAAATTCCTCTCTCTTCTTGTATTTCCCCTTTTCTTTTTTCTTCGTTTCGTCCCTCTCTGTGTTTTTGATTCTTA